ATAAAAGATTTACACTCTGAAAGGAAAATGTCTAGGTTCTGCAGAAGAACGAGCTCAGTGGAAATAAAATGTCTAAGGATATGAATAAATAATTCAAAAAAGAAGGGCAAAGGTGAGAAGTTATGAAATACTTTTAGTATTAACAACTGCTTGGTCGAAGTTTCTCAGCCTTTATCAGAATCATCTGAGATGCTTGTGCAAAATGCAGCTTCATCCGGGTGCAGTGGCTCATGCCTGTAATCCTAGCACTTTGGGAGGCAGAGGCAGGCAGAACACCTGAGGTCAGGAGTTCGAGACCAGCCTGACCAACATGGAGAAACACTGTCTCTACTAAAAATACAAAAGTAGCCAGGTGTGGTGCTGCATGCCTGTAATCCCAGCTACTCTGGAGTCTGAGGCAGGAGAATCGCTTCAACCCAGGAGGCAGACGTTGCGGTGAGTGGAGATCGTGCCATTGCACTCCAGCCTGGGCAACAAGAGCAAATCTGCATCTAAAAAAATAATAATAATAAAATAAAATAAAAATTAAAATGTGGCTTCCTGGACCTACCATATTTAAATTGAGACCCAGGTGTCAGTATAATAAAAACTCCCCTATACTTACTTTGGGAGGCCAAGGTAGGCAGATCGTTTGAGCTCAGGAGTTTGAGACCAGCCTGGGCAACATGGTGAAAACCCTGTCTCTATTTAAAATACAAAAATTAGCCTGGGCACAGTGGCTCACGCCTGTAATTCCAACACTTTGGGAGGCTAAGGCGGGCAGATCATGAGGTCGGGAGTTCGAGACCAGCCTGGCCAACATAGTGAAACCCCGTCTCTACTAAAAACACAAAAAATTAGCCGGGCGTGGTGGCACGCGCCTGTAGTCCCAGCTACTCGGGAGGCTGAGGCAGGAGAATCGCTTGAACCCGGGAGGCGGAGATTGCAGTGGGTTGAGATTGCACCACTGCAGTCCAGTCTGGGTGACACAGCGAGACTCCATCTCAAAACAAAACAAAAACTACCCGGGCGTGGTAATCCCAGTTACTTGGAGGTTGAGGCAGAAGAATCACTTGAATCTGGAAGGCGGAGGTTGCAGTAAGCCAAGATCGCACTACAGCACTCCAGCCTGGGCAACAAGAGCGAAACTCTGTCTCAAATTAAAAAAAAAAAACAAAAAACAAAAAAAAAACTCCTTCTTTCCATCTACTTACTTTTGTTTCAAAAGAAATGCAGGAGGCCGGGCGCGGTGGCTCAAGCCTGTAATCCCAGCACTTTGGGAGGCCGAGACGGGCGGATCACGAGGTCAGGAGATCGAGACCATCCTGGCTAACCTGGTGAAACCCCGTCTCCACTAAAAAATACAAAAAACTAGCCGGGCGAGGTGGCGGGCGCCTGTAGTCCCAGCTACTCAGGAGGCTGAGGCAGGAGAATAGCATAAACCCGGGAGGCGGAGCTTGCAGTGAGCTGAGATCCGGCCACTGCACTCCAGTCTGGGCGACAGAGCGAGACTCCGTCTCAAAAAAAAAAAAAAAAAAAAGAAATGCA